TAATTATCGACCTCCGATAAATTTACAAAATATATACAGTCGACTCTCGATAATAATTAATCATTCGATAACTTGAATTTCTCGATAATTTGAAGTCAGATGGCGGTTCCTTAAAAAAACTTTCGATAATTTGAAAAAACCAATGGGTTTTGGTACACTCGATAATTGAAAGTCGTTTTTCAGTGAATTTAAACTTTTGATATTATGAATTTCTCTAAAATATAATTTAATATACAAACATACAACATTTTTTCTTGGTAACAAAACTCATTTATTATGTTAAATTTGAAACATACCAACTTACAAACAATAGAGTGAAATAGACTGAATCAATATTTTAATAATTCCGTTAATTTAGCTTGCTTCTTGTTGATGATGATGATGAAGGAAAAAGCGAAGTCATTTGCTACATCACTTCACTCAGAAATAGGAGATGAAGTTTTTGCAGACTTGGTGTCAATAGAAAATTTTTTAGATAAAGCACTTTTAAAAGCATTTAAGCAATCAAAAATAACTGATTATATATGCAGACAGAATAAAAAATGCAATTAATATCCTTAACTAATTAATCTCTCATTAATTTGAATTTTCCCAAACTTCCTCTCGATAATTTGAACTATTTTTGGTGCCCTTTGAAATTCAAATTATCGAGAGTCGACTGTATATGATAATTTTCAAACTTTCGCCACTAAATAACAATCTCTTGTATTATTTATTATTTTTAAAAATATCAGTTTTTATTATTTATTATTTAAACTTAAATATAGGTAAGAAACAATCTTTATGAGGAAGCTGAGTATTTTATAAAAAAAAAAAGACAAAAATTCTTATATCAACTTGTCAGAGATTTATTATTTTATTCTATTAAAAAAAAGATTTAATCTTCAAATCATTTGACATAGCTTTCATAAATAATTGTATAATTCTATGAGGGATCATATAAAGAATTAAAAAAATGTAAATGAGGATTTAATGAAGGGTATTTACGCAAGACTGCAGAAGATTATGAGATCACAATATAGAGAAGGTGTTATTTTCAAAATGCCATAATTCCCCCTCATATAAGTGGATTAAATCGACTGTGTGTAACCAGAGAAAAGGAGGGGGCATCGCGAAGATCGTAAAGTCTATTCTCATGATGCTCGAATAAATCTCGAGCTTACCGCGTGCTTCGGAAATAAATAAATACCCTTCAGATGCTATCGTGTGCAACCTCAAAAGAAGACAAAAGATTCAATAAAAACCTCACAATATTCTCTTAGACGCGGGAAATCCTCTATAATAATATAGAACAATTCCCTTTCTGGTCAATATTCATATTATTGATATCATTTATTTGCCTTTGTAAACAAAAGATAGTCAATAATAAATGACAATAAACGATTGTTCGGATTGTGATGGACTTTATTTAATTTTTTATTTGTCATTTTATTTTTCTCGAGAAACATTTTTATATTCATTGAGAAAATTTAAACAAAAAATATTGTATATTAGAAATGTTTTATTCATTTTTTAATTTAATTTTTAAAAAATTAAATTAATTTGAAATTAAAATAGATATTTATATATATTCTGCTCAGGAAAAAGTGTAAAATATCCACTGTGGGAAAATTTATTTTTTCACACTGATTTGTTTAAATTTATTTTTTTTTTATTGTCTGTTCAGATTTACCTTCTTTTTTTGACGAAATTGAATTACATGTAATTAATTAATGTGTAATTAAAATTAATTTGTATGGAAAAATTTTAATTTCACTGCAACAGAGTATATTTAAATTTCGTTTATAACTGACAGAAATGGAGTTTTATTTATCGACGTGGGAATTAATAAATGACGTTCATCGAATTGCTAACGGTAACATGGATTGATAAACATTTATGTCGATATGAATTATTTGTGTATTTATGACTATTTTTGAAACGCAAATCTTTTATAAAAACTGAAATTTAATTTTTTTTAAGATATTAGTTAAAACATTGAATTTGTAGTTTAGGAAAACTATTGTTTAATTTTTCAACTGTCTTAAAAATTTATGTCAAAAATGGTTATGAATTATTTACAATGTTTTATATGAGGATGCAAATTTTATGAAGAATAATAAAAATCTACAAAAGTCAAAAACAAGTATTTTTTGCAGTGACGAAATTATTTGATTCAATAGTGTATAAATTTACTATAAAAATGAAATATAAATGTTTGTTTATTTTAAAAGAAATATTTTTGCACCAAAAATAAACTTTTTCTCAAAACTAAACAAACTTAAATATATGTTTAAAAAAAAATCAAAATAAAATTTTTTTACACTCAGAAGGCAAATTATGTCTCATTCGTCAGCTTTATCTACTTAAAATTGATTTCTATTTTATATGAAAACATTTTCCTTTTTGAAGTTGAACTTTGTTTGCTTGGAAAACTTTTTTCCTCTTTCAAAAGTGAATTCTGTCAAACTTGACGGCTTCTTTCATTTAAAAATAAATTCTGTCTCTTTTAGAGATTTCGTCTCTTAAAAGAGGCCAATTTTTTTTTTCTTAGGTACTTAACGACTTTGTCACTTCTGTAACTGAACTTTCTTGTCTAATTTGAACTTTTTTCTACTTAAAAAGTGGAATTCTGTAGTTTTTCTGATTCACAGAGTTTTTCCACTTAAAAAAGATAAATTATGTCTTATTTACTGATTTCTTCTTTGTACAAAAAACCTTTTCTTTTCTTTTTTATTTTAAAGACTTATTCCCTTAAAAGAGGTAAAATCAGTTTCTTTTTTTTTCAGAAATGAATTTTTTTTTTGAGACTTTTTCTTGGAAGATGAAATCTATCTCACTTGTACGACTTTTTCGACTTCAAAATATATTATGTTTATATCAAAGACTTTTTCTGCCTAAAATAAGGTGAAATAGAGGCTTTATGTACAAAAAAGTAGAAAAGATATAAGTACCAAAATAATATTAAGTAATATTAAGTACCAAAAACCAAACTTTACAAAAATGATTTTCGTAGATTGCCTGTTAGAATTGACGTATCTCCTAAAAATCTTTTAATTTAACGTCTGGTAGATAATTGGTTGTACTTATCAGTTGAAAAGGCTCTGAAAATAAGGTAGAGTCGAATACTTGAAGTCAAAAAGTCAAATGCACCAAAAAAAAAAAAAAAACTGTCTGTTACTTCTTACCCCTGATACAATCAACCCCTTGATCACGGAAAGAAATCTTGTTAAAATATTTAATATTTTGACACTCATATTTAGTATATATTAAGTTACAATTGTGGAAGAGTTTGCAGATTTTGGGGTGTTTATAGATTTCATTACTATTTTTTAAAAATGCCTAAAATAAAAATAATAAAGTTTAATATATTTAGAAACAAAAATTAGAATAGTTTTTGCGAAATTCATAATTGTATTATGAAAACTCCAAATGTTAAATTCTAATACGCCCTGTAACAAAGTATTAGAATAAAATATTTCATTTTCTGTATTTAGAATTCCGTTAACTGGTATACCTAATCATTTTACATTTTGATACAGTCGATAAGAAAGTGGATTGGTGTTAAATCCTTAATATTTACATATAATACTAATAGAAACTTCTTCTTTTAAAAAATGATAGAAAAATATCAAAAATCACCGAAGTTTAACGAAGTTAAGCGAGTGAGTCCGACCGGGTTTGACCGATCACTAACAAGTAGTCACGAAAAAAAAATGTCAGAGAAAAGTCAGGGAATTTTTTTCTTTAAGCCTTGCTGGACATTTTGATTTTAAAATAATTTTTAATACTGCAATATGAATTAAAAATAATTTTCATTCATTCATAATTTTTATATAATTTTTATTTCTGCAATATAGACTAGAAAAAGTTTTGATAAATAATTGTTTTTAATTATTCTATATTTCTTTTTCTAAATATAATTATAGAGAATATTTGTTTATAAGTTTGCTTCTATAATTAAATTAAATGATTTTATGATAAAAATTGTTCTTTGAAAGGTAATAAAATATTTTATTATTTCTTAATAAATAATTATTTTTATTTTTAAATATTTAACAATGTAATATTAAGTTTCTCACAAGTGCAGAAAAATCTGTCTATTTAGTATATAAAGAAGTTCAGAATTTCTCATTTTAGCGTGAATTATATATCAATATGCGTTGCGTTATTCTGCGTTTATGTATGCGTATTGTAGTTATGATGTGTAAGGAATAATTTTAAGCCAATCAAAGCGTACCAATTATGTGTGTGTATTAAGAAAGACTCCCACTACCCTCGAATAGAAAAGGAGAGAAAATCTTAGAAAAGCGCCATTGGTGGTTCCGACGTTATTCTTTTTTTCACGGCTCCTGCTTTTTCGTAAAGCTTTAGCAAATTTTGAAACGTGCTTTATTTTATAACACCACTCCTACTTTTTCGTATAGTTTTAGCAAATTACTGCTAGACTGTTTACTTCCTATACTGTTTTTTCCTATAGTTTTTTCAATATTCGAAAATTGTAGATTTGAATTAAGAAATAATAATTTCAGTTTTCGTAAAATGTTTCCAGTTAAAGGAATTCGTAAAACTATACCAACTTTTATTATCAAACCAGAATGTTTCGCAATTGAAAAACAAAAATATCAAATTTTCTATTCAGTTTTATTAAATATTATAACAAGATTTCTTTCCGTGTTCCCTTACACTGAAAAAAATTATATTTGGTTCAAATAATATGTTACTTCACTATTATTAAATAAATATTTACTAGAACGATATAACTTTTTTTTGAATTAAATAAACTATATTTGAACTAATAATTCCTGTATTTGAAACAAATACCATTTAATTGCCTCAAATAATAATTATTTGATACAATAACAAAAATATTTATTTGATAATAGTCAAGTAATCGATTATTTCAATTAAATAAATTTTTTTTTAAATGTAGGAACTTTAAACCAACGTCACATTAGATGTTAATGATTATTTAAAAAAAAAAAACAACTAAAAATTGTGGTTTTTCATAAATTGTTTAGGGCACTAATGGCTGGAGTTCGACGTCCATTAATAGCTTTACTTCCGGATGCTCGGTTCGAAAATGTGGAGTTGGTAACATTGTTGGGTGCCCTGGAGGGCCTATATGTGGTAAGTGCTTGAAAATCTTGTCGAACTATACGAATCTTGATCCCAGATGGTTGCCTCTTGCACCATATTACACCAAATTCCCGTATATGTATATACATATATATATAGTCCTAAGTCTTCGAAGCAGCAAGCTTGAGTAAAGCTCTCGAGAACCGGGATAAAGCGTGCGGGCATTGAGGTAAAAAGGGGGAACCCCCCCTAACTATATATATACACACATACATATAAATAGTCTGGTGTGAGAAACGACCATCTCACAGTGTGTAACGAATAGCTCGCGTTCCTGAATCTTGCGGTGGTTGGTAGGCGACCTAATTAACGAAATACTCGAGGTCCTTGCGTCGCAACTCGCTGTGTGTTAGTCGTTCCTTCTTTTGCATGAAGGAGTAAAGGGAACGGTAATATATATATATATATATATAAGGCGCAAGGACACACGAAATGCAAGGCATGGTTTTCCAAATACCCAAAGACGCCCTCGGAATTCCTGAAGCGCGTAATCCGAACTCTTCCATGATATTCATCTTGAGCAGAAATAACTTTTCTTGAAAAATATTTCTTAAACCCCCTCCCCCTCTATTTCCTCCTCTTTTCATCGGGGAGACATTTTTTTGTACTTGCACATCGAAAATTCATATATTCTGACTTCGTTTAAAAACACTAGGTTATTTATTGATTTTTTTTTTTTTTTGGTTACTATTTTTGCAAGAACAGAAAATTCCCAATTGTTTAACGTAATAAAAATATTTCCAAATTGAGATTGTTTACGTTTATTCGTAGAAATAGATATTTTGAGAAACACTAAAAAAAAATTTAGTAGTTAAAGTAACTAATTTTTTAGTTGGTTTAATTAGTAGTTTCTTTTACTAAAAAAGTAGTAGTAGTAGTTTAATTAGCAGTTCATTTTACTAAAAAATGTGGTTAAATCAACTACAAAAACTGAAACAACTATATAAAATCTCATTTCATAACATTCTTATGTCAGTTCTATTTTAACTACTTTCTTATAGTTAATACAACTTTTTAAATTCAGTTGAGGACCTATTGTATTAGGCAGAGTAGTTAAAAACTAGTTAAAACTACTAGTTTTTTTGAGTGTAGTAAAAAATAATTTTAGTAGGGCATAAGTATTAACCTCTTGACAGTCCAGGGCCCATATGTGGCCAGAAAAAGTCGTGCCACCTTTGTGCAAGTGGCCATATATGGCCATCGCAAAAAAATAATACTAAATTTAATTTGATTCGCCTGAAACTTGTTACTCGGGGGTTTTTGGGGTCGCTGAATCCAAATTTGAAGTCAGATTTCAAAAAAACAAAATGGCGGACCCAAAATGGCGACCATGAAAACTTAAAATTTATCAGATTTACATGAAACTCGTTGCTCAGGGGTTTTCGGGGTCTCTGATTACGAATATGAGGTCGGTTTTTCAAAATTCAAAATGGCGGATCCAATATGGCAACACAATATGGCGGATAATTTAAAAATTAATGCGTTTCGACCACAAATTGTTACTCGGGGGTTTTCGTAGTCGCTGAATTCGAATTTGAGGTCAGTTTTTCAAAATTCAAAATGGCGGATCCAATATGGCGGACAAATTTTTAAAAAATCAATCCGATTTGTCTGAAATTTGTTACTCGGGGGTTTTTGGGATCGCTGAATTCGAATTTGAGGTCGGTTTTTTGAAATTCAAAATAGCGGATCCAATATGGCGGACAAATTTAAAAAAAAATTTTTTTAAATTTGTTCGCCATATTGGATCCGCCATATTGGATCCGCCATTTTGAATTTTGAAAAACTGACCTCAAATTCGAATTCAGCGACCACAAAAATCTTAAATATGATGAAGTCATATTTTTTTGGAAACTTTTTTTTCGGACCGTTTTAGGCCCACCAGCGATTTTTAACTGGACTGCGAAGGGGTTAAAATTCTTGTAACTTTATAATAAATATTAAAAGTAAATTTTGGTCACTTATAACGATTTAAATTTAAATTTTTTTAATTTTAATATTAGTAGAAATGATCACAGTAAAAACAAAGTCTTAAACCGTTTACACCTTAAATTAAGCCCATATATTTTGCATAAGTTTGTCCTTTTTTAATTGGTCTGACTCCGTTTACACCTTAAATTCAGCCTCAAAAATAGGCTGAAATCAAGATTTCTTTTTTAGTGTGATTTAGTCAGTAATAAAACAATAAAAATTCTGGTAACTTTAGTATTAGTAGTAAAAGTATACTTTAGTTAGACCGAACGTCTCAACTTCTTGCATATTTAGAAATCAGTAGTAAAAGAAAGGCTTAGTCAGACTACTTACCATCTTGCAATTTTACAAATAGTAGTAAAAGTGGATTTTAATCAGACGATAATGTTTAAATTATCATTTTAGTATCAGTAGTATATATATATATATATATATATATATGCATTTTCTGTTAGATAAAATAGTTAAAATTTTTAAAATTTTATTGTTATAGGTAGTACCGTTAAATGAGGTAAAGTCGGCGTTTGCGAGTAAAGTCGGCCGGCGCTTTAAACACTTAAATATTGTATTTCATTTATTAATTTACATTAATTCTAACTACATTTTTAATAAAACTCGGATTTCTTCTGGAAAAAAGTAATAGTTAAACTTTAAAATGATTTAAAGCGCCGGCCGACTTTACCCTCAAACGCCGACTTTACCTCATTTTACGGTATATAGTTAAATAATATTTTAGTTAGAGAGAACTACTAAATTTTTTGTTAATTTAAGGACAGTTGTAAATGTTTATTTCAGTTAGTCAGAATGGTCAACATTTTTAAATCAGTAGTAAAATGAAGTTTTTGTCAGACATATGTAATTAAATTTTTGATAGTGATTTATGTGGAAAATTTTATATTATTTAAATAAAGATTTTAGGCCAATTTTTTCCACAAGAAAAAGCTAATTTATTATTAACATAACGACGTTTCGGCAGCTGCCGCCACCCTTAAACTCTTATTGTCAATTCCAAAATGAATTTTATCACCAAATTTTCGGATTACCAAGGGATCTCCCATTAGCGCCGCATGCGCAAATCTGGTTATGGAATATCTAGAAAGGAAAACTTTGAATAAAATCAAATATAAAATTATCTTTTACTATAGATATATTGATGATACATTAATATGTCTACCAAAGAATAAGGTTAATAATTTTTTTGAAACATTCAATTCAATAAAAAATAATGACAGAATAAAATTCACTTTGGAAAAAGCAATAAATAATAGTATTAATTTTCTTGATTTAACTCTATACATAGAAAATAATAAAATCATTACAAATTGGTTTAGAAAACCAATATGGTCTGGTCGTTATATTAATTACGACTCAGAACATTGTCTAAAATATAAACTAAGCATTATCATCGCTTTAACAGATCGTGCAATTAAATTATCACATAAAAAATTTCATAAAGAAAACCTAGAAATAGTTCAAGAAACTTTGATTAAAAACGGATTCCCAATTAATATAATAAATAAAAAAATTAACGAAAGATACAATTTTTTAATTTCACAACAATAAAAAAATAATTTAATTTTTCCAAAAAATAACATAATTACAATTTCATTGCCATATATAAAAGAACTTGAAAATATTTTATACAACATCTTTAATAAATTTAATATCAGAATTGTTCAATCAATAGAAAATACTTTACAAAAAAATCTTTTACACTCTACCAAAGACAAAGTAGAAATAAAACAAAAAATCAACACTATATACAAAATACCTTGTAATAAATGTGGAAGTATATACATCGGAGAGTCCTTAAGACATCTACAAACAAGAATATGTGAACATGCCAGAGATGTAAAAAATAAAAAAACAAATACAGCTCTGTCAACTCACGCAAATCAAAAAGAAAAAGGACATTACTTTGATTTTGATAGAATAACAATTCTGGATACCGAAGAGAATTATTTTAAAAGAAAATTTCTTGAAATGATTCATATTGCAAAAGAAACAAAATCAATAAATTTTAAAACAGATATCGAAAAACTAAGTAATATGTATCAAGGATTTTTGAATAATGTGCAATGATTTGATAATGAAGTATACTATATTACCAACACTTAATCACTTAATCACTCTATAGAAAAAAATTTTGAATCTTTAATACAGTTACGACATGTCGATGGATAATACCATCATCATGTCTTTAATCTTTATATTATATAATAATTAATTAATAATTTTAATAATAAAAAACTTTATACAAAATAAGAAACATAACTCCTCAATATGAGAAAACTCTTTCAGGTTAATATAAAAATAATATAAAAATAATTAAAAATTCTTTTTTCAAACGTAAATACAGCTTTTTCTAAATTTTTAATATAATCATAAACAAATTACTGATTTAAAAAAAAAAAATAATAATAATAATAAAATAAAATTGTCTTACTTATAGTGAATTTGTTAACTTGATAAGGGTGGCGGCAGCTGCCGAAACGTCGTTATGTTAATGATAAATTAACTTTTTCTTGTGGAAAAAATTGGCCTAAAATCTTTATTTAAATATGTAATTAAATTTTAAATAATTTACAAAGTAGTAGTAAAAGTAGGTTTTAGTCAGACACAAGAATTGAAATTCTTGTTTTTTTTAAGAATCATCAGTAGTTTAAAAGTTCAGAAAACTTTTTCTACTTCATAGATCAGTTCTGTAAGTAATTGTAGATTATTTATTTTTATTTAATAATTTTTATTTATAATTTATTTTATAAATTTTAGTCAGACTGTTGTATATATTGTGAAATAATTAGAATCAGTACCTAATACTTAAACAGTAGTACCTTATATCAACCTTTTTTTGTTATTTTTTTTTCTTTCGTTAATATATCGCCATATATTGAAGTGATTAAAATATAAAATCAATTTTTATGAGAATATAGACGCAAAGAAAAAGTAGACAGGAATTTATTATACAATAAAAAGGGCATCGTTTTGAAATATGAATAAAGAGAACATGTATATGTGTGATTCTGGATTTTACAGCCTCTGGAAGTACGGGAGATATCAGCAGAGCGATGTTACAAGGCATCCCAGTTAGGTGTATGGAGTCCAATCTGCAGTAAGAAGCTGCAGGGGATCGTAAAGCTCGCAACTGCCTTGGAAAGCGGAAGATACGTCGCAAGGGACATCGGTAAGTCGTTTTCCCCAAGCCAGTCTAAAAAGAAACTTCAATGCCCAGGGACAGGGACCAAGTTTCTCGGCACCTGACATCGACGGATAACACTTTGTGCCATCAACTCTAAACTTTCCTTTCTCTCTCTCTCTCTCTCTCTCTCTCTCTCTCTCTCTTATACACACACATATAACCATATATATAGTGCACGTAGTAAGCGAGAAGATGCTGAATGTCCAAATTTTTGCTGCTTCTCGTGAAGAAAAATTGCTTTAGGCTTTTTAAATCCTCTGGCACCATTGGTGCTTACGTTCCTATTTCTTAATTGACTGCACCATACAATACTTTACCATTTGTCAATTTTCTTTTTTTTTCCCCTTTTATAACACCGAGCGTTACTTGACAGACTCATTCGTCCTGTTTCTCAAGAAGTTTCTCATCAATCAGTAATAGTGACGTGATAAATCGTATTTACGTCCTGTTGTTTTTCATCACTAGAAAGAGAACATTTTTTAGTTTTCTATTTTATAACCTTTAATTTCTTTTAATGCGTTATATAGTTTTTATACTCTATTATTTTTGTTGAAAACAATATTTTTTCACTTAAGTTGTTACTCACGTGACAAATTTTTTAACTTACAGATGAATTTTGTCATGTTATTAAAAAAAAAAAAAAAATTCTATTGAAAAGTGATTTTTTCGAATGTATTTTTTTTATTTAAATACTCAAAAGAGTCTATGTTGTTTTCTATGAAGACTATAATTTTAAATTTCGCTTGATTGAAAGACATTTCTACTTAAAAATAAAACTTGTCTGACACTCGATGGTTTTTTCTACTTGAAATGAATTCTATCTTATTGGAAAAAATTTTTCCATTTAAAACAAAATTTTGTTTTATTTAACGATTTTCTCAATTTGGTATAAATTTTATCTTCTTTATAGACTTTAAGTTCAAACTTTTGACATGTAACTGTCATTAACATTCGCTAAATGAAATTTATTTTATATATATATATATATTGTCTTAGACAAAAGTGACAAAGGATTTTAAGAAGCTTTCGTGTCTTATCAATTTTTCAGCTAAAGGTAAAGCGATTTTGCTTCTAAATCCAAAACTAACAACTTATTTAAAAAGATGAACGGATGTTGCACTTTCTTTTTAATAAATAAATTTTTTTGAAAACCCTTAATTACAATTTGAAAAGTTCATGTCAATTACATTTCATACGGGATTAAAAACTTAGTTTAATTAAAATTAAATGCGAAAAAGTAGAATCACATTAATTTAAAAGGCTCAAGAAATTTTTTCTTAAGGTTTGGAGCTGTAAGAAACATTATTTATTTGTACAGTATTTTTTCCTAAAAACGTTAATAATTACAGTTTAGTTAATTTACATGACAAAACGAAAAAAAAAATCAGAGTAAATATTTGCAAAGTTGAAAATGCCACAAATGCCGTGAGAATCCGTAATACTTTCAATAGTCTCCGTCGACGCTATTCTCCAAACGATATATTACCTATATTCGAGGAATTTCGTTTTCAATTCAGCGAGTCACACATTTTTTTTTTATATATATAGGTGGTGGTGATCCGGAAAGAATGGCAGCGCCAAGGGTTGAAGAGTATATTTCTGAACTATTTGCTGGTACAAATATTTCCGTTCAAGTGATCAGCGATCAAGATACACTTTTACAAGAATATCCACTCTTTGCTTCTGTGAATCGTGCTGCATCTGTGACACCACGACACGCTGGAAGAATCATTTTTTTAACTTATGAACCACCAAATCCCGCTTGTGTTTTGGAAACTTTACTCCTAGTTGGAAAAGGCGTCACGTATGATACCGGTGGCGCTGATATCAAAATCGCCGGCTGCATGGTTGGAATGTCAAGAGATAAATGCGGAGCAGCCGCATGTGCAGGATTTATGCAAGTAAGTTATAAGTATACAAAGCAAATATTTGAAAAATATATGGCAAAAAATAATTATTTTTTATTTTTTATTAAAAATGAGAAAAAAAATTCATGCAAAATTGTTTGTACCCCTTGTATTTAACAGGTAGAAAAAAAATATTTAAAATTAGACACAACTTCGAAATAAATGAAATTTTAATATCAGTGGTAAAAGTAAATTTCAGGCAGTTTTTTTTCCAATTTACAGTTAATTCAGTATTACTGAGTAAGAATCGTATAATAGGTACATACATTTTAAACTTCTTCGCAGTCTTGTAGAAAAATCGTTTGTGGGCCCAAAACGGTCCAAAAAAAAGTTTCCAAAAAATATCATATTGTCGTATCAAAATTTTTTGGGGTCGCTGAATCCAAATTTAAGGTCAGATTTAAAAAGTTTAAAATGGCGGACCCAATATGGCCACCTAATATGGCGGAAAAATTTAAAATTGATTCCAAGAACCAAATTTTATACGAATCGAATCAATTTTAAATTTTCCCGCCATATTGGGAGCGGGAAAAATACCATTGGCGTATTAATGGCCCAATAATTGGAGCCAGGGATGCCAATATAAGTTCAATAATGGCACCCAATAATGGACCATTATTGGTAAAATCATGGGCTGTCCACGCCGATGCCAATGATTGGCAACCATCATTGGCTAATTATTGGCAACGAATAATTATCCAATATTAAAAATTTTAATAATAATTTAGAAAAACAATAATTTTTAAAAAAATTTAATTTTTATTATTTTTTAATAGTTATTATTATTATTATTATTTTATTTTTAATAATTAAATTAATATAAAAAAATGGTCGTCAAAGTATTAGTGAAAACATTTCTTCCAAAAAAAAAGTTTGTCTCAAATCCAATTAATAGGAGAGACATCGGGCAGAAAAAAATTTTCGATCACTACTTATATACCAATCTAATGGCACCTCAACTGCGAGAAACAGTTATGATGTTCGCCCTCCCTGTGGCGTTGAGCGAACTAAAGTCTAGAGCTGAGCCATTTGATTTTATTAGATATTTTATTTTATAATTAACGAATTATTAAGTATGACATTATGTTATTAATAATTATTTATCCAGACACAAGTATTTAAATTATTTGTAATTTTTGTCATAATAGAAAAAGTAAATTTTAGACAGACAAAACGATTGAAATTAATGTAGTTTTAATATTAATGGAAAATAAAAGTGTCAGTAAGCCATAAGGGAACGTTCACAAATGATGTTACGCACTGAGAGGGAGGGGGGGGGGTCTTTTCCAAACGTGACACAATGTATTTTTTCTATAAGAAATTATAGTAAAATAGCGTGACAGGGAGGGGTATGGGGAAAAAAATTTTGAAAAATTGCGTGACATTTGTAAACGTTCTCTAACAGTAAAATATTGTAAAATATTGTTAGAATTAGTAGTACAAGTTGATTTTAGTCAGTCAGCAGTACTTTAACTTTAGAAATTTTAGAATCTATAGGTAGTGAAAGTTTGAAATTAATATTTTTACAAATATTCAAATTAAAATACATCAACATGTTTTTTTGTTAAGAAATAGTTATTTATTTCATCATCTCTCTAAATTCGAATTACCTACCCAAAAAATAAGAGGCTCAAACTATTTTGAGGAAATGAAATTAATTAAAAAATTGTGTAAATTAAGAAATTAATAATATTAATTGTCTAAAAATAATGTAATTAATTACAATTGTAAAATATCTATGTTTAATTAAATTAAAATGTTAAAGAAAAAATTGTCCAATTTTCACGTTTATTCATTAATCGACAAAACAAAAATTATTTTCTTTCGGTAGATCGTAAACTTGTTACAACCACCAACGGTAAAGGTCGTCGCAGCACTGTGTGTCGTAAGAAATAGCGTTGGGGAAAATTGCTATGTCGCTGACGAAGTGATTACCGCAAAGTCAGGCATGAGAGTTCGCGTTGGGAATACTGACGCTGAAGGTCGAATGGCAATGGCCGATGCTCTATGTCACATTAAAGAAATGGCATTGTGTTCTGTGAACCCCCACATTTTCACTATCGCTACACTCACAGGTCATGCATGTCTTGCAGCAGGAATAGGATACTCCGTACGTATTTTTTTAATCATACAATAATCAACTATTTTTCATTATAAATCAAGAAAAGGTCAATAATAATTTACGTAACTAAAAAAAAAACAGAAAAAATAAATAAAAAGGTATAAATTTTGAAGATGACTGGCGAGTAACGCCGAAAAGCTTCAAGCCATTATATTCTACCCATATAAGTACCATGCCTTTATTATTTGTACTCACTGTTTTTTCTGTTAAAAAAAAATATATGTCTCAAAGGATTTTAACTTTATTATATTGCAAAATATAATTTAACTTTCCAGTTTGCAAATTCTCGCGATTTAATAAGTTTTGGTATGGAATATTCCCTTGATTGAAAAAAGCAATTTAACTACATTTTTATATATGCAGTTCCTTGTAACGAAAGTTTCGCGTATATTCCTACTTTGTATTTCAGACTGCGTGCGACCAGTTTTCTTCTTTCTCTTTCTTTTTTTTTTTTTGTTCAACTTCCTTCACCGGCGCGCCTTCGTTTCGTCCTCTCTTCATCATCGCTATATATTGTGTGTTCTTGCATGTAGCGCGTTTCTTATTTTTCTTACGTGCCGCACTTTCTTAATAACTCACTTCTCCACCTTATTCTTGCAAATAATTACGAAAAAAAGTCTTTCTTTCTTTCTTTGATCATGAAGTAAGAGCAAAGAGGGAGTGAGAAAGATAGAATCTTTCTTTTACCAATCTAGCTACTCGCCTTTTGTATTTACATTTTCCCCGAGACCTCTTAATGATAATCTGGTGCAAACCGCGCGCAGTTTGAAATACCTTTTAGAAAAACGTGCTCTGCAATTGTATATTCGGCAAGTCGAGAATTTTCATATTCTTATGAGTTTTGAATTAAAAAAAAAAAAACATTCTTGTTATATGATATGCAATATTTTATATAATCTGCAGCGCTCGAATTAAATTATAGATTTATTGCTTCTTCAGAATTGTGATTTTCTTTTTCAAGCATCTGTATATAAATGTGTCTGTCTGTGTGTGTGTGTGTGTCCGAAGAACTGCTGATCTACTCGATTTTATGTTCTTTCTCTGGAACTATAAAATTTGGAGACAGACATAAGATTGTTAGGTCAGCATTAAACTTTTTTTTTATATCGTCTACCTATCCTCATTGCGAAGCGAAGTTTCGTTTACTTTTTATCATCGTCTTATTTTTCCTTTGTTTTCAATTTGTGAAAATATATATTTTAAATATTATAATTTGCATATAAAATGGCTAAAAAAAGAAGGAATTAAAATTGTAGACTCAAGACGTGAAATTATATGAATATTATTTAAATGAAATTATATAATTGTCATGTCTAAAGAGAGTGAAATAATTAATCTTAACTAATTAGAATTAACTAGTAAAGATTGAGTTAGTAGACGTGATTTATGCAAATGATAATCTAATTTAATGCAGGTCGTCATGGATAATGCAGTTGCAAGACTGGCGAGTAACGCCGAAAAGCTTCAAGCCTCGGGTGAAGCCATGGGTGATCCCTTCGAAATCTCTCGTTTGCGAAGAGAGGATTTCAAAACCCACCAAGGTCAAGCCGAGGGCGATGACGTTCTACAAGCAACAAGAAAACCCAGCTCACAGTCACAAAGAGGACATCAGGGTCCAGGAGCATTTCTCATAATGGCATCTGGTCTAAATCAGGTAAGTGTAAATCTCCAAGTAAAAATATTGAGACGAATGCGAAGACATTTTGGCGAATTTTAAAATATTTACTTTACCTTCAATATTTTATAATTCATTTGATGACATATTGGATCTGCCATCTTGAAATTTTTTATTCTAGCTCACATAACTTTTATGTACTTTTGTTTGAGAATAAAATTATATGCTTATAGACTTCTTCTAGATGAAACAAAAATATCAAACTTAAGGAGAATAAAGGCCCTAATATAACCTTAAAACTGTATAATATCAAATTTCTAAAAATATTACTGCATCATTGATTTGTATTGAGAGTTGATCCTCCTTTTGTATTTTCACTTCAAAAATTACAAACATAACCTACAAGTTTTTGCTTCTTAGGTACCTTTCTTCAGAGCGCATCACAAATATAGCTGAAAAGTGAACTAGGAATTTTTAGTTTTCCAATGTTACCATTTTTTAATAATGTAATGTTTAGTTTTTAGGGTTTCGTGGCCAAGGTCCGAAAGTCATATAGTTTCATTTTGGCGTCCATCGGTCGTACACTCGTATGGTTGCCATGGTAACAGATACCATAGCAACCGTTACCATAGCAATTGTTTCCATGAAAATTGTTACCATGGTAGTAAACGTTACCTTAGCAGGTCTCAAAGCCTTTTTCGGGTTAAAATTGCAAAAACATGTAAAAACGGTAAAGGCAAAGGATGGCAAAGGATTTTGATTTATTTGAAAATAAATTTTTCAAGGTCGTTGTCGAGGTCACGATGTTGGTGTTGCTTTTGAAAATTTATTAACTTAATATAATAGAAGATTTTTTAATTTTTAAATAAATGAAAAATAATTAATAGTTTATAAAGTAGGGGAGACCGGGGCTGAAAGTGCCGATTTTGAGAAAACTAAAGAAAATACTAGTAAAATGACAACTTTTTATTTTACTTCATAGTCTATCTTTTGTGAAATTTAATGTAGTTTTTGAATCCAGTATTATTTTTTGATAATATTGAATAGTTTTTTTGTAAAAATGGATTTTCTGCAGCGAGGCGAAGCGACACATCGAGCTACGCCCTGGGGAGAGTTGTGCCGACGCCTGGGTCGGTTGTGCCGCTCAGATTTTGTAGTTGCTTAACTTGAAGCAAATGATTTTACGTGTAAGAAATAAAATAATTATTTCCAATATATGATTTAATATTATTTATTAATATATTTTTATAAACATTTAAAGGTTTTTGTGAACAATCTTAGGATTTCTAGATTTTAGTACCACTTTTAGTAGGTAAAAATAAACAATTTCTGACTTATATTCTATAATTACATAGTTAGTCAGTCACTTAAAATATAGTTTTCGTAATAAGTATTTTTATTATAAACATTCAAAAGATTTTTCCAACAATCGTAACACTTATAGATTTTTATAAATAAATAAACATTTCTGACTTAAATTTTACAATTACATAATTAATCAGTCTTTTAAAATATTTTTTCAAATAATTATTTGTATCGTTAATTAAGTGTAAAAACTCTACTTTCTGATTAATAAATAGTTTTTGAGACGTAAATACTTATTCCGAATGCGATTTATTGAAATTACAATTGACACACATATAACTGACCCTTTTTTTTACACTTCACACATTTTCAATGTGCCCAGTTTTTGCAAACTATGCATTGAATCAACTTTTCTCTTGATTTCGGGTTGGAATAACTATTCGAACAAACAAGGCAATAGTATAGATTATGGTTATGTAGCGATTGACAGCGGTACAACCAGCCCCAAGCGAAAGGCACAATTAACCTCGTTGCGTCAAAACTCACTTTTTATCATATATTAAAAAAGTAGATAAATAAAATGTTAAGATCAATACACCATTGAATCCCTCGATAAATTTGGATCATTTTAAAAAAAAATACGTATCGATATCTTTAAAAATGCAAAAAATAGACCAAAAAGTGTAAACATGAAAACTTGTACGTAAGTGACGCCAAAGCACCAAATTACTAACAGCTAATTATTCCATAAAGCAAACAAAATCAAAATAGTTGCCAAAGATGCGCATAAGTAAAACAATACTTCTCTCACTTCCACTTTTCAAAAAAAAAATTTTCTTTTTGAGATATTCCTATCGGCACAACTTACCCCCGGCACTTTCAGCCCCGGTCTGCCCTATTATCATAAAGCCTATAAATAGGTACTTTTAATTTAATATAATTTCATTAAAAAATTAGATTCTATTTTTGAAAAATATTTCACCAACATCCGTTAAATAAAAGTTAATGGATTGACGCATTTTAATAAAAAATAAATAGATATTTTTTTCAACAATAAATAATATGGAAGATGTTTTTTTTTTTATTGTCAATATTTAAATATGAAATGAAATGAAAATATAAACATATCGAATTGGACTAACGCGAAATATCTCTATCGAGATTTCATTTCCTGTTAGCCTCGTTCAACTGCAATAACTGATATAGCAATTCACTGTACAACTTAATCGATTAATTTCATTTTGTGCCGATATATATCTTTTATTCAGATATAACTTTTGGTCCATATTTGTTTTCATTTTATATTCTTTGACATTTAATGGACTGGTTTCAATTTTTGATTCTGTTTACAAATTTAATTAATGAAAAAAAAAAATTACTGAAATTTTAAGATGTAAAGTCAATTTTAATTTAATTTTTGAACTAATCACTTATTTTTTTAAGTCTCTAAGAACACATCTATTTTTTGAAGAAAGAAACACACCTGAGGTCTGTGAGACCCCAAGCAGTTTTTAAAGTTCTACCATTTCTAAAGTACTTATTCCTTTAATTTCAATATTTTCCAATACCTTTAAATAATTGTAGAAAAAGTTCCCACACTTTAAAAGTGTCATTAAAAATATTTAAGTGTCAAAAAAATATTTTAAAGAAATGGTTTTAAAACAAAAAACCGAAAAAATGTGTTTGTTCGGGGTCTTAAAATCAGGGGTTAAAATTAATTTTAGGAGAATAAATTTTTTTTGAGTTCTTAAAAAGATGCATCAAACTTTGAAGTAATGTAATTTTAAAAAATAAATTACAGTTCAACGTAGTAACTTCAACAATAATAAATTGAACTTCATTCTAAACGAAAACAAAATTAAATGAACATTTCATTTTGAAATGTATTATCTTCAATTGATTAAATAGTTCAAAATATTGATAGCTTTAACTTATGCTGGAGGGAAAAATTGATATCTTTATAATTAATTGTAGTTCAAAATTGATAGCTTCAATTTACCCAAGTTGGATATATAAATAACTTCAGATTAATAGTATTTCACAGTATTGATAACTTCAATTAATATGTGTAGTTTAAAATATTGCTATTTTAGTTTCCGAAAAGTTTTGTATTTAAATAAAAATTAGAAAAAATCTTCATTTATTATTAATTGAAACTTTAAATGCAGAATATATAGTGACACTTGTTCGATCGTGTCCTATTTTTATATAGTATCAGATGTTTCTTTTTTGCTGATAGTTTTTTGATTTTCAAGCACACTTCGTCATGCAGGACCGCTTTCAAATAAACATATCTCAAACATATGACGCTTTCTGCTGTTCTATATGTGCCAGATGGTACATTCAACCTCAGGCTTCATTCAATATATAAAATCGTTATTACTCTAAAGTGACGAGATTCCAACACTTCATATTATATATATATATATATGGGGCGAAATTCCTGAAGTGTTCCAATTGCCAAAATGTGAGCATTGCATTTTTTGAAAAATCATAACTATTGTATAAAAGGGTGTAAAAAATTTTGACCTATATGATTTCAAAAGGTTTTTTCCTGCTTTTTCGAATGGTGCATTTTTTTTTTTTTAATTCAAAATTTACCCCTTTTTTTGAAAAAAAAAAAACTAAAATGTCGTTTCTTTTTTGTTTTCGAGATATTAATTAATTAGGGGAAAGTGGGGAAAAACCGGGTATCCCCGGTTTCCATAATAGGTATTTCCATTTGTGCCATCCTTTACATATGTCTTTTAATGATATAACCGCTATATTAAAATTTATTTATTATATTTTATGCGACGTTTAAATTTTAGGTCAAAAGAAAATTCATTTTTTATCGAAAGTAAATCTCTTATAAAACTTTTTGTGTCAATATATTAGTTTCGGCAAGTACAACATCTTTTTCAGCATTTATTTACGAGTAAATTTTTCTTAAATGTAATTGTTAAATTATTAACAATAAGCTGAGAATTTTACATTTTGTTAAAAAATGCAGTGCGGGACAAAACCAGATACCAAACGGTGGGGAAAAACCGGATATATTTAAATACATTACACTATGCATATTTAAATTATATTCCTTCTGTTATTTATTATTAATATAATATAATTTGATTAAATGTTTTGAATATTAATTATTTTCTATAATGTATGTGATATATAATAATAATTGAATAAGAGCAACTGTTCTAAAGAACTGGATAAATTAAATTTTTCTCTTTAAGATTGTAGATCATTTGTTATTAACAGACGAGAGTTATGAAAAATAAACATTAAAAAACTAATTAATGAAATTTTTCATAAAATTATTTATATAAAGTTTTTTAATTTCGAATTTTCTTTAACGAAAAAAAAAAGATTAAAAAAAAGAAGTATTATGTAAAGGAAGGAACAATATCAATTTAAGAGGAATGTTTTTCAAATGATGTATAAAGCAAGAATTTATAATTATGTTAAAGGAAAATGAAACCTATTTTTTATAAATTGAATTTTAAAATGAAATTAAAAGTAAATTAACTTTTGAAATATTTTTATGATAATAAAAAGAGAATGTAAAAGAAAAATAAATTAAATATTTTTCTCAATTTAAAAAACTTCTTATTTTTTTTATTTATTTTCTAAATAATTGCTCATAGAGAAAACATTTGGTATTCAAATAGAATTCTGAATAATTCAATTTCAATTAAAAAACACAAAAACTTTTTTTTTTAGTACAAACTATTATAACGAGGTGGAAATTCCTGTATTTTAAATTTTTATTCATTGACGAGCCTATATATAGATATGTATGTAGAAGACAATTTACGTGATTCATTATTTGAGTAAAAAAGTAATTAAATTTTAAGAAACTTTTTATGACTGATGCCAGGAGCTATTATCAAATAGTTACACAGCGTTGAATACAAGAATAAATTATACCCTCTCCACAACTTTACCTTTTTTATTCATTCGATTTACATTTTGTCCCTATACCGCTAACTTGGAACAGTTTCAATGAAATTAATTCAATTAAATTGCTTTGTTTTGCAGCATGGTCGAGATTCGGAAAAACCTTTGCGCTATTCTCATTTGGATATAGCAGCTAGTGCAGGTGATTTTCCTGAAATAGGAACTGGTGCACCGGTGTTAGCATTAGCTAAGCGATTCCTCTTGTCGGATTTGGAAAATTCTCTTGTCAAAGATTTCGACAATAATGTTTAAAAACAAAAGAACTTTTGTTATTCCGAAAAAACAATTTATCATTTTTCAGTGAATAAATTGCATTTAATTCTTTTTATCCATTACATATATTCCTTACAACTATAAATTATTCTTGTAATTTTTTTTTTGTTCAAAAAATTATAAAACTTGAGGTTTACGAGTTTTGGTACTTAATATTTGCATTATTATATGATATAAAATGTTACTTATAAAAGTTTTAATAAACTTTACGTTTTGTATTCACGAATATTAGTTCTGGTTTGAATATCCTTCTTCATCTTTTCCTCAAAAAAAAAAAAAAAAAAAAGTTTGCATTGCTTGCAATAGTTTAAAAAGACGGGAATTGTTCGAACATTATTTCTATTTTATTTGCAATTCAAATATTTTTTTAATAACTTTAAAAAATTGAACAATTAAAAATAGTTAATTTAAATATTTTGAAACTTACTTTTACTAGTTAAAAAAAACTTACATAAAAAAAATTTACATGTAAAATTTATATTTTCTATATGGATAAAAGAACTGACTAAACCTACTTGTACTACTGATTCTAAAAATGACTATTTAATATGTTTTCTCTGTCTATAACTTACTTTCACTACTAATCCCAATAATGACATAAATGTAAACAATTTTGTCTGACTAAAACTTACTTTTACTATTGATACTAAAATGACATGACCTTAAAAAATTTCTATTTAAGTAAAACTCACTCTAAACATCTGACATCAAAATTTTAAAAATTTGGAAGTTTTTTGTTTGACAATAAGTATAATATACTATGGTGGATTTCTTTTAGACTTGAAAGCTTTTTATACTTAAATTGTGAATTTTGTCTTATTTGATGTTTTTTTCTACTTTTGAGAAATCATAATTTATTTTATTTCATGGTTTCTTTCACTTTTAAAATTTGTATTTTGCATAGTTAGATGAAAGCTTTATTCACTTACAAGCTAAAGTCTCTTTTACCAACAGCGCCTTTTTTCATACTAAAAAATGAATTCTTTTAAATTTAAAAATATTCCCTTCCTACACATATTCATCAATTTTGCACTAATTGGTTTCGAATTATACGAAATAATTTGACGAGTAAGAAATAAAATATTATATAATTATAAAAATTTGTAAAAAACTTAGTTACAAATAATTTGAAAAATTTATCAAATAAATAAAACACTTATGTCAATTTGTAAATTGATTAATTTTTTAAATTTATCAATTAATATTGTTTTTAGTGACATTTGAAAAGAGGCATTTTGAAGAAAATGTGAATTTTCAAAATGATGTATGATGCATAAACAAACAGGCTTGATGAACCTTTTTAATTTTCAAGTAATGCACAGGTGGAAGTGCATTTTTATGAATATAGCGCGGAGGATTATAAGATGGCTATATAGGGATAGATTATATAATTTTCGTATTATTCAACTCACGTTCTTGCATTTTATTACTCTTTTTATGTCAAAAAAGATTTTTCCATTGGTTTATAGCATGGAAGTTGCAGCTGTTCACCACTGAAATATACCCACATCGACATTGAAGGCCACCTACCAGAACCTCATAATCTCTTCTCATATTCTGGAAATCCTGTCCTGGCACTGTCTTACTGCTACCTGATTCAGGGAAAATGTCTCACCGTACAAAATGACATGCCTTATGAATTGCAATATGTATGTGAAGCGAATTCGAAACCACTATAACCGTCTAATCGTACTCACGTTTCCGGTTCAGATTGTCGCGCACGCAGTCAAAATAATCATTCTCACTGTCAAATTCAACGTCCAGCTTTTGAATGTCCATCGCTTTTTTTTTTTTTTTTTATTTTTCCAAATTGTCAGCAAAGTCTCTCTAAAATCTGAATTGCATTACGAATTTTACTTATTTTTTTCAGAAATTCACAATTTTAGTTTGTTGAAAATGATTATTTTTTAGAATTTTTATAACTTTTAATTTATTGAATTTTTTTATTAATTTTTTTTTAATTTAACAATGAAATTTCAGGATGATAGATTATTCTGTCAATTTTGTTTTAAACAAATATAATAACAAATAAATTTTACTGATTAAAATTGCATTGATTTGGATTTAAAGAGAAATTGTATGTATATATTTTCGGAAAACGCATATATATATATATATATATGTGTGAGGCATTTTACGTGTAAAGTCCTGATGAGTTAAAAAATTGATTTCTCAAAAAAGAGTGAAACTTGGGGAAATTGTTGTCCTACATGATAGTAAAATATTCCCAAAAAACTTTTTGACTTTTTTGAAATTTTTGGGGGAGATAGAGGGAGGTCAATTTTATCAGTTTTCCATGACACCGCCTATTTGAATTTTTTTCTGTCTATACTTAAATACAATAAAAAAATTTTTGGCATATATGTTTTTTGAAGGGTTTTTCATGCTCTTTCCAATAGTGAATTTCATTTTTTTTAATTTTTGTATTTTGACCTTAATTTTCTATAATTAAACATAAATTTGCTATTTTCACTAAAATCAGTCCAATTTTTTTTTAAATAAATAATTGCAAACGAACACTGAGGTTTTTTCCAATCTGTATAAAAATTTTCAGAATGCCGACTTTTTTTGTTTTCGAGATATTAAATATCAAAGATTTTATGTCGGCGCGCGCCAGTGTAAACAGCTACCGCGGCGCGGTATAAGTCGACCACCATTGGAATGATCATGAAAAAACCTTCAAAAAACATACCTGCCAAAAATTTTTTTTATTGCATTTATAGACAGAAAAAATTCAAATAGGCGGTGTCAGGGAATACTGATAAAATTGACCCCCCTCTATCTCCCCCAAAATTTCAAAAAAGTCAAAAATTTTTTTGGAGATATTTTACTATCAGGTAGGACAACATTTTCCCCAAAAGTTTCACTCTTTTTTGAGAAATCAATTTTTTAACTCAGGACATTACACGTAAAATGCCTCATATATAGTTTAGAAATGTATGAACTTTTATTTATAAACTTTTCATTTATTAATAAAATATAACATTTATATTTTTTGTTACTGAAATATAATTTTATAAATATTTATTTTTGTAAATGACAACGAAATTCATAAATCCATTAACAGGTGAGTGCAAAAATAAGCAATTTTATGAGGAAGCAGTGTAAAAAGTTAATATTAATATCTTTCATTTATTTATTTATTCAATATATATATATATATGAACTAAAATATATGCACTTGTACTTTTAAGATATTTGTGCAATTTTTTTTTTTAATGAAATTTTTTTTATCTTCCGTGAATGTCATTTTAAAACCGCAAATTTTAAATTTAATTTCTTTTATTTGCATTTAAGTGAAAATATATTGTCTGGTGGTGAAAAAATGTTGATTATTTTTAATTTACCACAGACGGGGCATATCTTTACTTTGTCCATTAACTGAGCGACTCATTTTCTTAAAGAATATTCATTTTTCTTCGAGTTCATTGCATTTGCATATAAATGAAATGTGCGTAAATGAGTGTAAATAAATTTTTTCTGAAATATATATATATATATATACATATAAAATTGCATGCATTTTAGTTCAAAAAAATTGATATTCTAAGTGAAATATTTTTTCCTATTATTTTCATTTTATTATTTTATATTTATGTATTGATTTAATATTTAAATATACATATATATTCATATATAATAATTGTACGGACACTCTCAGAAACTTTCAAAACTTTTCATAAATTATGATCTTTTGTTGGTAAAGTAGTTACCTACGAGTTTCTGTTTGATAGATACATCATTCTACTTTAAGGATGACGCTAGTTGTACATTCTAATTTGTCATATTACTTTATAATAACAAATAATATGAATATTTTTTCGATTTTTTTTTTTAATTTTACATTATTTCTATTTTATAAATTTTAGTAAAAAATGTTTTAATTTAGCTATTTTGGAATCTGTTTTTTAATATTTCTCCAATGATATTCAACTTCAACTTTTTATCGACTGACAGTAAAAGAAGATATAAGATTTCAGCAGTTTCAGTAAAATTTTGGGTTTTAAATAAATATAAAGGCTATAAAAATTAGTAATTTCTGACATTTAAATAATATTAGCGATTTTCAAATTTAAATTAATTTTTAATCAATTTTAAGGAAATTAAACAAATATTATTTAAAAGAAATATATTTTTCCAAAGCCTGTATGTTTTTATAAAATTTTATTACAAAAATTGTCAAAGAATTAATATTTATTTCTAAGAGTATTTTCGAAGATTATAAAATCTCAGGCAACAGGAAGTGTTATTTGTATAATTATTTGTATTGCAAAACTGCGCTTCTAAATGAGAGGCAAGTTATTTTTGATCGCAAAGAATTTAAAATGAAGAATTTCTAAGATAATTCGGCCACTGAGTTTATAATGTAGTCTTTCTGACGTCATTCAATAGACTTACAAGTCGTCGAACTTTCGATTCAATCCAGAATTTATCCGCTATCTCCTCGTAAATGCGATAAGAATTCATACTTTTTTTTCAAATACCAAAACTTTTTTTTTTTTTCATCAAAAACGGATAGAAGCAAAGAAAAAGTTAAAAAAAAAAAATTTATTTGGAACTAATGAAAGTTTAGAAGAAGAAAAAGAAGAAAAATAAAAAATCTGATAAATTCTAATAATTTAAAAATCGAAATTTTTGTCGAATACTTTTCTCAATGAATAAGTGAAATAAAAAAAAAAAAAGAAGAAGGAGATAGAATTAATTTAAACTCTCCATTCTCCATCAGACATATATACTTTCTATTCAACTTTTTACTTTTCATGCGAAAATTTTCATTTTCGTGCTCTAGTGGTCTAGTGAATGAACGACTTCAAGTCACTCAACCTATCCTCATCACATTGCTAAGCAGGAATTAACTTTCATTGAAAGTTGAATGGATCATTTAATTATATTGTGTATACGTCTGAAAATGTAAAAATCACGTAATTTTCTTCTTTTATTGTTGTTGTTGTTGTTGATTTCTTATATAGAAGGGTGAAATCGTAATCATACAAAAATACACACGTTGTCCACGGAAATGCTAATGGACTTCCAGTGTCGATTTAAAAAAGGAAAAAAAATTCAAGTTTCACCGATTAAGAGCGCTGTAACTCCTATAAGCAGACATTGATTGTCGTGCTACGTTTAAATGAATCAAAGTGGTGGTGAAGTTAACGATCGTCAAGTGCGGTATATATTACACATTCTATATATATATATATATACATGAAAAGAAGGTCGTCGCCC